TTTGAACTCTCAGTTCCGTCTTATTGGTTCAGTATCTCTCAGATCACAGTCTTGTGACTAGTACTATTTTATGTTGTGAAAGCTATTCCAAAAACAACAGCAAGCAAAAAAGAGCCCAGTTACAGGGCACATAATAGATTGATTTTAAAGACCTTCCTGCTCTGACTCGTCTGGTGCTATTTATGTTGTGAGAGTGAACAGAAGGCATGAAGGCCTCACAGTCATTTCTGGTGATATGAACCCAATATCACCTGTTAAGGCAGCAGGAAATAGCTTTCCTGAGCACTAATGCACAAACCTTAAGTAAAGCATTGTACACAAAATACAGCTAAACAGCTCTAGATGGTTTGGCTCAGTGGATAGAGCATTGGCCCAAGTTTGATTCTGGTCAAGGGCACATGCCCGGGTTGTGGGCTCGATCCCTGAGGAGGGATGGGGGTGGTTTAGGAGGCAGCCGATCAATGATTCTCTCTCATCATTGATGTTTCAAGCTCTTTTTCCCTCTCCCTTCCTCTCTGAAATCAATAACAATATATTTTTAAAAATGCAGCAGAACATTAAAGGAATACTACACCTTACAAAGTGGAACGTATTCCAGACATGTGGTTGTGGAACATTTGGAATGTGTTTACATTCTTCACCAGATGACCAGGTCAAAAGAGCATGTCCTTGCAATCGATGTCCTAAAAGCCCTCTCACTCACACTTGCAGTGAAATCATAGAATCCCAGGAGAATGGACACAGGACTTCCATGAGGAAAACATCAACCCAGCTCTCGTGCTGTCACTCCTCTCTGTGAAGGGGAGGTGCTGGTACTTTCCACACAGAGTGCTGCCCCGTGTGAAGCCAGTCGGCTCACAGCAAGCTCTTGGGACCGTGGTGGGAACCACGTGCTGGTAAGTGTGCAGGAAGCATGAGCCATCGTGACTGCCACTCTGAGAGGGTCAAAGAGGACTTGGCCGGGCCGATGGAGATGCTTTTGGAAAGGAAGACAACACGTCAGAAACGTCAGTTCTCCGTGAACTGATGGAGAAATGAAATGACGCCTTCATCCCAATGATTTTTTCTTTCAAATGTGCTCAGCTGATTCTACATTTCCTTAAGTGAGTGAAATTGCGGTACACCTAGAAATCTGAGAAGGAAAAGTAGTGAAGTGGGACTTATCCTTAACACGTTCTAAAGAATTATAATCATCCTGGTGAGACTGAGACAGTCCTCGGGGTGTATCTGGGCACAATTACTGAAATCCTCAAGGCCTTCTGGGCCCAACCAGGTCAGGAAATGGCAGAGGGGCGTTAGGGCGGAAGCCAGAGGGGCCCCCAGCCAGCAGGTCGCCCTGGCTAACCAGGCCGCTGCTTGGAAAGCACTTCCTTCCTTCCGCCCTTTGTCTCCCAGAGGCAGAGCAGCCCTTGCTCTAGATGTCTGGGAGCTCCCTGCTGGTTTGAGGGGTCTCCACATCCTCTTCCCAGGCTCCTTTGCCGTTGGGGTTCACCTGGTACCACAGGAACAGAGGTCCTGCCTGGACAGCCTTCTATGCCTGAGACCGCCAATGACCAGTGCAGGTTGGGGAGATGAAGGAGCTCTGGATGGAGTGGAGAAGGCTGTGGAGCAGAGAAGGGACTCAGTGCCACAGAGCTGTGCACCTAAAATTGGTTAAAATGAAAAAGGCTAAATGCTAAATTCTAGGTGATGTGTATTTACCGCAACTGACACCAGACCAAAGCACGAGGGGGGCGTGGGGAAGGGCTGCCCTGGGTCTCGGTCTGCACCTGGGGGTCCGCTCTCATCCCAGAAGGAGGCTCGTCCTGCCCTGAGCGAGGCCCTTCCCTGCTTCTCCTTCATGACCCGCCCGGTGTGGGTCCAGATGTGAGGCTCTCCGGCTGGCAGACGGAAGAGCAGATGTTCACATCTTACTGCTGAGGAGACTTCTCCACCACCCTCCCCTGGCACTGTGCTCTCCCTGCCCTCCCCTCCCCTGGCACTGTTCTCTCCCTCCCCTCCCCTCCCC